GGGGAAGAAAAATAAAAAAAATCAGAGAAATTGTGACAATAATATGATCATTGATGCTACTACTTAGACTGAACAGATGTTAAAAAACGAAAAAAAAAAAAGAGAAAAAGAGGGCCAATAAAATCATCATTTACGCTACGACTTAGTGACTTAGTCTGAAGTTCTGAACAGACGATAAAAAAAAAGAAAAAAAAAAAGAGGTATGATAATTTGATGAATTCACTTTGGTCAGATACCTTGTATTGTATGCATGGGTTGCTGGCTGCATGTGAGGTGGGCAGGGGGCAGGGTAGAGGGGGGTAGTCGATAAACTGAAAACGTTTTTCTTCCGCTACCATTGACTACCGGGATGGGTGTGGAGGTACCTCCCTCTATGGTGATGAGGCTGGTGGGCGCCATGGGTGATGGGTGATGGCTGCAGGGCCTATGTCCCATTAGCAAAAGACGATTGGATTTAGCTCCTGAATCTGGACGTGTTTTAAGCAGAGATGCAGAAAAGCTGTCCAATCTCGAATTTCTGCACTTTCCCATGAACACGTCTAGATTCAGGCGTTCAATCCTATCCTCTTTGCTAGTGGGACCTCGCCTAGGCCCCCAGGGGAGTTCCCCAGGCGAATATATATATATATAATTTTTTGATGCATCTGAGACTCAGATTCCAGTAATTGGATTTCTTAGGAAATTGGTTTTCAAAATTTGAATGGAAGAGGTTTTGCTAACAACGAGGCGGATTTTTAAAAATTAATTAATTAATTAATTAATTAATTAATTATTTATTTATTATTTATTATTTACTTATTATTTTTTTTTCTCAGGTACAAAAAAAAAAAAACCACAAAACTTCTGGAAAAAAAAAAAAAAAAAAAAAAAAAAAGATTATCCGTACTTTCTCAACCAAAGCTTGAGCCCTCGCCACTCACCTACGATCATGTCTTCCATAGCCTGAACCGCTCCCGCTCCTGAGTTACCTTTTCAGTTTGAAATAGGTAAAAAAAAAAAAAGACAAAGGGGCGCCGATGTCATTGTTTGAGTTTCAAAATCATGTGCAAGTTTGTTTAGCGGGGGCTTGAAAAAACTGCGGCTGTTTTTGTGTGAAGTGGCGTGAATGCAGATTCAGCGGCGGCCTTTTTTGTTTCTTTTTTTTTTTGCCCAGGCTGTTGTTTCAAAAATTGCTAAATTTGCCTCTTACACAAACGCTGGGTGTGACCCAGGAGCCGTTGCCCCCTTTTTTTTTCCTTTTTTTTTCTTTTCTCCCCCCGCTCCCTCGGGCCTCAGCTCTGCCATCAATCTCTCAAGCAAAAATCCTCTAATCATAATACCATACCTTTCTCGGCCTTTTGGCTAAAAATAGATCATTGACAAGTGTAGAATCTGTTCTGATCAGTTTAATATATCTGATCCTTCAGGGGAACACTAGCAAACAAACACACAAACAATCAAGCAATCAAACAAACAAACAAACAAACTAACTAACAAACAAACGCGCAACCAACCAAGCAACCAAGCAACCAAGCAACCAAGCAAGCAGGCAAGCAAGCAAGCAAGCCAATAAACAAAGAAACAAAGAAACAA